ACACAAAAGGAGGACATGTCCGGGGAAATCCGGACGTATGGTAACCCTAGATTAGGGCCCCGTTGTGCCAGCTGCTGCCCAGACACATCGAGGGGTGGTCCCTGCCCCAGCTGAGATCAGGGCCCCATCATACCAGAACCGCAGGCAGGCAGTAAAGGATTGTGAGTGATTTGCCTGTGGGCAGTGAAGGATTCTGGGTAATTTGCTGTTGGGCAGCGAAGAAGGATCATGGGTAATTTTGAATGGGCTGCAAAGGTTTGTGGGTGGTTTGCAGGTAGGCAGCTCTGTTTTTTGCATAAGGAAAGGCCAGTTTTTTGCCATTAAAACACCAACCTAGGACCCGGGTTCGAATCCTGACTCCCACCTGAGACTGTGGGGGCAAGTTAATGAGTCTCATCGTGCCTCAGTTTCCCTATCTCTAAAACAAGCGTGTGGGGGGGTGGGGGGGCACTGTAAGGATAAAGTCCACTAATGTTTGTGAGGCACTTCTTTGGGGCATGAGGGCGGGGGGGATGGGACAGATACATCTGTAGACTAATGTGTGACACCCATGACCAAAACAGCATATGTGTAGACATGCTTAGACCTTTATTAATTTTTTGCTAGATGCATTAATTGAACCTACCCGTCTTCAGATATTTCCCTACCCTCCCCCCCATCACCTGGGCAGCTGGGGAAACTGAGGCATGGAGCAACTCAGTGACCTTCTCGAGGAGTCAGGGGCAGAGGAGAGAATTAAACGCAGCCCCGTGGCAACCCCAGGTCAGGACCCTAATGCTCAGCCTGCCGGCTGCCGGGGGCACACTGCCACTGCTGTGTGAGCTGGGCCGGCCTGAGGGAACATGGCGCCCTGGGCAAACTTGTTTTTTGCCACCCTTTCTTTGCGTTGGAGACCAGCAGCATGAGGCACGGGGCGCGAGAACCAGCTCCTGGCCCCAGAGCCCAGCCGGGAGAAGTTTCTGAGCCTGGGGCCTCTCCCAGCCATACCCCCCCGACTACCTAGCAGGGAGAGCCCCTCTGCCTGTGCTTCCTTGCCAGGCTGGCAGGTCCCCCGGCCCGCCTGGCCAGGGGCTCCAGCCCCCAGGCTTGCCTGCACTCAGCCTAGGCCCTCCAGCTTGCGGCACTCCCCGTCAACCATGGCACCCAGGCGGTGGCCCACATCTCCCACCTGTAAGGCCAGCCCTGTGTCCAAACTTCGTGGCGCCCACCCCAGTGGCCTCCGAGTCACAGATCGGGGGCCCCAGGAAGGCCGGGGAAAGCGAGGGCAGTTTCTGCTCTGCCTCTCGGGCAAGGCATCCACTGGGCGGGCGTGTTCCCCGCCAAACAAGCTTCAGTTCTTCCTGGCCGGGTGCCAAGGGAAGGCGGGGCCGGCGGGGATTTAAGGGTGATGAATTTCCCTGCTAATAAACCATCTGCTCCCCGCCGCCCAGCCCCGTGCAGCCAGGAGGCCAGGCCGCCGAGCCGCCCGCCCGCCCGCCCGCCCGAGACATGGTCCTGCTGGCCGCGGCGATGCTGTTGCTGGCTTCAGGTGAAAGGGGTCTGGGGGTGAGTGTGCGTCTGTGCGCGTGCGGGGGGCAGCTGTGCATTTGGGGGGGGTGTGAGTGTGTGTGACTGTGCGAGTGTCTGTGTGCGTGTATGTCTGTATATGGCACAGGCAAGTGTGTAAATGTCTGTGTATGAGTGTGTGTCAGCATGTGCAGGGATGTGTGTGTGTCTCTATGTGTGCACATGTGTGTATACATGAGTAAAGTAATTGTATATGTGTGTGCATGAGTGTTTCTGTGTCTGTGTGTGTAGCCACAGGGCTGTGTATATGTGTGTGTGTACATGTTAAAAGTGTACACATGAGTGTGGGGGGGCATGTGCAGATGCATGTGTGTGTTACTGGGTTTGTGCTTATGTATTACTGAATATGTTGTATGTTTGTTACTGTGTGCGCATGTGTTACAGTGTGTGTAACTCTGTATATGTGTTACTGTGTGTGTGCATGCATGTTTGTCCATTACTGTATATGTGTGTGTTATTGGGTGTGTTACTGTATATATGTGTGCATTACTGCGTGTTACTGCATGTGTGTTACTGTGTGTGTGTTACTGTATATGTATGTGCATTACTCTGTATGCGTGTTACTGTATATGTATGTGCATTACTGTGTCTGTGCATGCATGTGTTTGTCCATTACTGTATATGTGTGTGTTGCTGAGTGTGTGCATATGTGTGTCACTGTTTATGTGTGTGCGTTACTGTATGTGCATGTGTGTGTTACTGTGCATGTGTTACTGGATGTGTGCATGCGTTCGTACGTGTATGCCAGGGTGTCTGTCTGCCTGTGAGGCGAGGTAGGAGGCCCCAGCATTGCCGAGCTCCCGCTGGGTGACCCTGGTAGCAGAGCAGAGCTCGGAGGGAGATCTCAGGGGCTGGCTCTCGTGAGGGGACATGGTGGGGTCAGACATGAGGGGATGGCTGGGCAAGGACAGTTAATGCCTCAGGAAGAATGTTTGTGCACCCCCAATGTACTCCCCTGCCCCACACCTGTGCTCCCCACTCCACGTACTCTCCCACCCCACCCCACCCCACGTACTCCCCACACCCCCTGCCCTCGAGCCTATGGTGCCATGAGCAGGAGCCTCCACCAACCATTTAATATGGTCCGTACATGTCTGTTGTACATCTTCAAACAAGGGGTGAGTGTCCCCCAGTCCCTAAACCCCTGCACTCCCCCATAGACCCCCCATGATCCCAGCTCCCCCCATCCCTCTGCCCTGTCCCCCTGCAGCATTCCAGGTCCCGGCCCAGACCCAGGGGCCCCTGCCCAGCTCAGGGGTGGCTCCTAGGAGAAGGCGCAGACAGGGGGTCTCCATGTGCTGCACTCGCCCCGAGTGCCGACTCCGCAGTTCCCATTGGCCTGGAAGAGGGAATCGCAGCCAATGGGAGCTGCGGGGGCGGTGCCTGCAGGCAGGAGCAGTGCGCAGAGCCGCCTGGCTGCCCCTGAGCCTAGGAGACGCTGCCGGACATGCCACAGGGAGCCTACCGGGAGCCTCCCATAGTAAGCACCGTTTGGCCAGAGTCTGCACCCCTCACCGCCTCCTGCAGCCCAACCCCCTGCCCCAACCCTCATCCCCCTCCTGCACTCAAACTCCCTCCCACACCCCAATCCCTGCCTCAGGAGCAGCCCAGAGCCCCCTCCCACACTCCGAACCCCTCAGCCCCACTCCTCAACCCAGAGCCCGCACCCCCTACCACACCCCAATACCCTGCCCCAGCCCGGTGAAAGTGAGTGGGGGTGGGGCAGAGTGAGCAACAGAGGGAGGGGGGGCTGGAATGAGTGGGGGCAGGGCCTCGGAGGAAGGGCAGGGCAGGGGCGGGGCCTTGTGGAAGGGATGGGACGGGGCAGGGCAAGGGTATTTGGGTTGGTGCAATTAGACAGTTGGCAACCCTAGCTCGGACACTGACATTTCCCTCCCACACACACACACTTTAGTGGCTGCTGAGGATGAGCGGATCATCGGGGGACAGTCCTGTGGCCGGCACCAGCAGGCCTACCAGGTGGCCCTGATGGGCTCCCCCAACACCGTGCGCTGCGGGGGGGTGTTGATCAACCCCGGCTGGGTGCTGACGGCTGCCCACTGCGAAACCCCGAGGTAAGGAGCCCAGGGCCGGGAGGGGGGACGCAGGGAGGAAGGACACAGGGAGGGGGATGCAGGGAGGGGGGGGCCATCGGTTAGAGCAGGAGCCGAGCGATCAGGACACCCAGCTTCCATTCCCTGCTCGACGTTGACTTCCCTTGGGCGGCTCACTGAGCCGGCTTGCGCCTCAGTTTCCCCCATCTGGACAATGGGGATAACAGCCCTGCCCTGCTTCACAGGGGCTGGTGAGGGGAAAGAGGCCTAGACGCTATGGCACTGGGAGCTGTACAAGGAACCTAACTAGCTGTGCTGGAGGTGGGAGGTGGAAGATTCAAAACATGTTTCGCCTCCTTCTCCTGCTCTCTGTTGGGGCCTTGGTTTTGTAGAGTGTAAGAGCTTCCAGGCAGGGCCTCTCTGGCTGTGTCTGGGCAGTGCCCGGCACGATGGGGCCCTGATCCCACCTGGGGCAGGGACAGTCCCTGGCTGTATGTCTGTGCAATGCCCAGCACAATGGGACCCTGATCTGTATAGGGTACTTGGAAATGTGACCTAGATCCTCAGATGGCATAAATTTGCTCCAATGGGGTTACAACCAATTGACACCAGGTGGGGGATCTGGCCCAGTGTTGCTATTTTACCACTAGTCCCACAGTAGTTAGTGGCGCTTTTCTCCAAGTCCTAGCCCCTGGAGTCCAGTGACTATAAGAGTTTCTCGGCTTCCATTATAACATGAAAAGTAAGTTTCCACCTTCATGGTTGGGGAGAAAAGCTGGAAAATTTGAGAAATCTAAAGAGTCTGAAACCAGGTGGTAAATTTAAACAGATAATAAAAATCTGCACTCCTTGCTGTATTTGGTCTGTAGTTTTAAAAAATTACAAGTAATTTCCTGATTTTTAAGCCAATCTCATGATTTTGGGGGGCTGGACTCATGACTTTGGAATGTGTGGGGTTGGCAGTTCTGGAAGCAGAAGGGAAATGTCTCCCTTTGATATCCATTTCGATGCTGTGCGAAGAATCAATTTTTCGGTCCACTGGCAATGCTGAAAAATCGGGGGGAAATGGTTTGGGGTTGACATTTTTCACAATGTACAACAAATCGAAAAGTATAACAACACTTTTTTTGTTTCGGGCGGGATGGAACGTATTGTTTGACCTGAAAGGGAAGATTTAATTTTGTCATTGAGCGTTTTTTAATGTTTTTTCAAAATCAAATGAAGGGAAATTTTGAACCAAAATAATCAAAATTTCCAACTGTTGACACAAAACATTTTGTTTTTTTCATATTTTGGGTTTTAAATTAACAATTTGGAAACCAACACAAATTCATAAAATAGTCAGTGTTGCCGAATCTGTATTTTTCACCTGAAAAAAAGTTCTGGCTGAAAAATATTGGCTAGCTCCAGTCACGATAAATGTCATTTCTAACATATTAGCAACCCTGATTTCCCCAACATTTAAGCCCTTTACGAAACCAGCAAAACACTATAATGAAGATCTGGAGTTAGGCTGGGATTTGAAAGCCAGTCACTGGATTTTGATGCCCAGTTCACATTTATTTGACTGGGAATTGGGCAACGCAATGCATTAAATGGCTTTGAAGTTACCAGCCAGAATTCACAGTTTGCATCATTATGACTAGAAACAATCGGCCATGCGGCATCCGCTTCTGATGGAATGATTTATTGTATATAACCAATCAGGGATGAGAGTTAAATCACATGTCCTATTGTAACCAACCAATAATGCATACATTGGGAGCGTGTGTCATGAACTGTTCAGGAAAAAGAAGAGGTTTTATACCGAGTCTCACAATATTTGATCTTTTTTTCTAAGGCTTCCATTGGTGGAGTCAAGAGAATCCCAGTTTTCATTTTTCAAAAGTTTCTAGTCTTCATGAGTGCAGAGCAAAAGGAATCCAAATTGCTCCAAAAACAGAACACAAACAAACAAACAAACCCTTAAACCTTTTATTTCAAAATAACTGACAATTTTTAAGCCAATCTTTTGACTAGACTTGGGCAATTCTTTTGACTAAAACCTTTTTTTTTAATTTTGGTGAACAATGCAGATATTTTTCAGCTAAAAATGCAGATTTCATTAATTCATGTTGATTTCACCTAAATGCTTCAGGGGGGGAAATCCTAAAATACAAAAATTCAGAAAAAAAATCAAAATATTGCATTCTGACATTTTTGAAATGACACGTTTTCATTTTTCAATTCGAAAGGACTTTTTTGTTTAGAAATTTCCTGCAGGATTTTATTTTTTAAAATTAAATATGTCACAAAAGGATTGAAATGAAATATTTAGTTTCAGGACAATGAAACATTATGTTTGGCCTGTGATAATTTTTTCAGCTTTTGGATTCTCTGAAAATTTTGAAAAAATTCATTTTCGGTTCAACCCGAAATAATTTGGGGGGGGATTTTTCAGAATTGCCAGTGAACGAAAAATCCGTTCTTTGCCCAGCTCTTCTAATGATTTTGGGGCCTGACTCGTGATTTTCGAATGCTTCGGGTTGATGACTGGGAGAATTTCTCCTTGTGGAGAAGCTTGTGTATACTTGCAGTGTTTTGTACTTGGTTCAAGGGGAAAGACAGATGCAATATGTCAGCATGGGCTGTGGGTGAACAGGGCCGGCTCTAGGTTTTTTGCCGCCCCAAGCAAAAAAAATTTTGGCTGCCCCCCGTCCCAGCCCTGGGCTCCTCGACGCACCCCCCTGCTGCCCCAGCCCTGGTCTCTCCCCACCCACCCATCCACACCCCCTGCCACCCCAGCTCTGGGCTCCCTTATTCCCCCCCACCATTGACCCCCACACACACCTCCTGCCACCCCAGCCCTGGGCTCTCTCCCCCCCTTCCCCACCTGCACCCTCCTTCTGCCCCAGCCCTGGGTCACTGGTAACTCGCTCCCAGGGCGGGTCATTCAGCAGGAATTTTAGG